TTGTTTTGTTTTGATGTTTGTTAGGAATTAGCTCGAATTTTAGGGTTTAGGAGTAAGGTGCTTTGTCCACAAAAGTGACCGCATTTCTTTGAAAGAAATTATCCTTGAGGAGATGAGAAAATCAACCAGGCGTACATTCCTAACTTAGTCATGACTTGTTCTTGAAATTCTACTAGTTTTTCAATGTCTCGGCTGTAAAAAAATTTCGACCTCGATCTCAGGTAATGGTGCTTGACCGTCGAGTTCTGGTTGAAAAACCAGGTCTGGAAATGGAATGATGCGACTTGTTGGGAAACCTAATAGTGTAATGTTTAGAAGAGGTCATGCATAAGTAGAGGGTACATCATTGATTTCTCCGAAGGGAACATAAAGTTAGAGCTAGTTGTCGGTTTGGTCAATTTTTGTCGGCGGGACCTCCCATTTCGCAGGCCTAAAATTTGAAAACCATGGAACATAGATGGAAGAAGAACACGCATCTTGTAGAGCAGACAATTCTCTTTCGAATGGTATATGACTCGATGTAAAAGCATGGGGATTTAGATGAAAATTTTTTGGTTGAAAAAAAGCGACACTATTTATGAGACAACCTAATATTGACGATTATCCACCACGTCTGCAGGTCTACAGTGATAAATCATGTGAGGACATGGGGAGGCGTATGATAACGATTTGACCATATCACCGCCAAATTCTTATCCTACGCCTCATTCAAGCAACGTCTATCGTGGTGAGCGTTCTCTCCTGTACTGTCTCTGTCGTGGTGAGTGTTCTCTCCCGTACTGTAGAATGTGCAATCAGCAGCTCATTTCAGAAGATGAAGTATCTAGTCCTGTTGTGTTGCTTGGGAGTTGTTCTCGCCTGTTACATCAAAGTACCTCATAAAGGAGGTGATTTGACGGAACGGATGGACGAGGGTGAAAGTTGGGTGAGTAATATTGATGAGTAACAAGTTCACTCCGATACATTCCCACGCAGGACAATACAACTGTAAATGCAGGTGAAGCTCTGAGGGCGTGAGTCGATGCGCGTTCCGCAGCGAAGTGTGTGCCCATAGCGGCTCAACAGGGCCGTACCCGCGCCACGGCATGCCCACCATTTCGACAAGCCGGTTTTAACAGTCCGATGAGTGACCGCTACCGTAATCCACGTTGGCACTGGAGCGCGCAGCTACACTACTGCTGTGTACCCACACGTTTCAGCACCAACGTGAGAGGGTATAATGCCTCGCACGGCAAGTGCACAAAACCCCATCTACCACAACCGCCCTTGGGCAACCATCCAAGGGTACACGCAGCGTCGCCGCTTCCGCGGCGATGGACTGAGCGAGGGCGAGGGAGGCAAACCCCAGGGTGCCGCCGGACCCCTCGCCGGCACGTTCGACTACCTGCTATACTCCACATGTATACAGCACAGACGCTCCGTACAATTGACAGGTTCTATACCGTCCATTTTGTCGCCGTAGAGTGCGCGGAAAAACGACAAAAGGGCACGTCGAAACAATCGATGACACGTGGCATCGCGCCAACCAGTCACGGTTACGGTTGCGGTCACTCATCGGACTTTCGTAATCTCACTAATACCATTTCCTCGTCTGTTTCTAGCCATTCAGCAGAGAGAGCGTTGCATTAAAGTGATAACCATCTGAGGGAGTCCCATCAATGGGGAGATCAACGGGTGAAAAGGGGCCTCACTTTTGGGTTTTGGACCATTTCATGGCTTTCTCTTGACCCTTGCACCACTTAACACCTCTACTTGGTTTCTATTGTATTAGCCAGCCGCTGCTCGCCCATCAGGTGTGAATATTGGTCGAGGAAATCCTCGACAGGGGGTCGTATTTGTCAGGGTGGGTCATGGGGGTCGTACTCTTGGGGGTCAGTAACGTCAGTGGCATCGTGGTGCAGATAGAGAGGGTGTAGCGCAGCAGAAAACAGGGATATCTGAGGAAACATGAGATGAAAAAGATTTGCAGGTTCGATCGCTCCGTCCGCCTACCTTTGAGAAGGAAGTATTTGAAGTATTTGGTGACGATTGCCCCTTTTCCGGTTACCTACGTTGGGAGAACTCATTCAAGACACATTTCGAGAGTTGCCAACGAATTAACCTGCAATGGTGAAGAAGGAGCGGTTTTTTAGGTGGCCGAGAATCATCCTCGATAGATCCTCGACGCAAATATCTCCTCAACTAGAAAATGTAGAGAAGGAAGCTAACGACTATTAGAAAGCGCAAACCTTCCGCTTTCCAATACCGACTTCCATTTTCCAAAATCTCACGAGTGTGAGAGAGATATCGCTTTTTGAACGGGGAAAACTCGCATGGAAATTCCAGCATCCTCGATTGAATTCAAGAGACCCTATCTCCTCGAGTGGAAATATTTCAGATCAATTTCAATATTGCCCGGTAGTAGCAAATCCAGCTCTATCCAGACCTACCACACACTGCTCCAAAGGTTGTGAAATGGGGAATGGAACCTTTTCATCGAGAGTGTAGATTTCGACGGTTTCGAGCGGGGTTTCGGCAAATCTGACCCACGGATAAACCGCGCTGCAACTGAATGCTTTGCTGTACATTGATGGAACTCGCTTATTCACATCAAATCAAAGTTTAGAGGGGTCGTATCAAGACCCCGATCTAAGGGGGGGGGGGTCGTACTGATTTGGCGGGGGTCGGACCAGGCTCGACAAGTTTTCCCCTGCCGCCCATCGGCTTAGTTGAGTGGTGCTGCCGTCATCGCCATCGTTTGCTATTCATTTTATGAGGGCATATCAATTCTAGTGGCCATATATTTCAGTTCTTCGAGGTAAAGCATTCTCAATGGAAGGATGGTGTTTACTGGTATGATAGCGCTATCGGGATTACCACGTGCGAACGAGCTCGCCTTGTTCGCTGGTGGTAATTTCGATAGCGTCCGTCGTTTCATCGGAACTTACCTGGCAAACAGGGTCCTGGATTTCGAGGTTTTTCTTGGTTCTCTTCTCCACTGCAATTCTGAGAACTGGCAACATTTCTGTTACTTCCAGCATGCGACCATTTTATCGCAAAACCAGCCTATAAGAATCTCAACAGGGTCAATTCGATGTTCCTTAGGGCGAAACATATGTAATGTTCACATCGTTCTGCTACCGAATACCAGAGTATAGCTCCAAGCAAAATGCCAATTTCACATCTTCGGAGCTACCTGCTATCCGCTATCAGGCTATGTGGTGGCAAAGGGTGGGCATCGCTGAATATGGAGAACGGGTCTGTTGTCCGACGGCGGGGCATCTGCTGACGCAACTGCTATTGACAGAACATTTTAGAGCATGTCATATACAAATTGGTGACGTATTCGAGGAGCTGACCAATTTCCTGCCCTACCTCCTTTTTTCTTTTTTTTCCACACCAAGAAAAAGTACCACAAGATATCGGGCTTCCCCTAGGACTAAGCCTCGGGGGTGGGCAGGAGCTACGAAAAAGATGAAAATCACTCACTCTGGAGTCTCCCCTTCCTCCGCCAAGGCTTAGTCCCTTTTCTAACAGAAAACAATCGTTTGACGCGGTTTTACTTACGTGCGTTATCGTCGCATGCTCGCATCTCTTGCGATAGGGCCTTATTTTGTTGGTTTGTTGTTTCTTCGAAGCTTTTGTTTGTTTGCTGTTAGAAGGCGTTACTCTTTTCAACATGTTTTGTTTCGGGGTTACAGCAGCAGATGCCCCGCCGTCGGCCAACAGACCCTGGAGAACTCCAAGTTTTAGGCTCAAATATGGCATAGAGCCGATCTTGGGAAAGAAAGACATCGCAAAATTTAAAAAAAACTTCAATATTAGGAAAGCGACTGGGGGTTTCATTTTTCGAGTTCGGAAAAGCAATCATATTTCAGATTGTCGCTAACATGTTCTATGAATGCAAGGACGGGAAATTGATAACGACTGGCTGCGGAACTCCTAAAGGGAACAGGGTATGTCTAATATTTAATTAGTGGCAATCCAGCCAGACATAATATTTTGCCTTTGTGATGTGATCGCTTCACCTTTTTATCACTTTTTAACAAAATGATCATTTGTTTCTAGCAGCAAGTTCCCCTGCTTTTCTTACTGTTGTTATAGAGGAGAAGTAAGAGTGGGGAATTAAACTTGCACCAGTCATTTCATGCTACCTGTTGTGACCATTCCCTCTAGCTGTAACAAAACGAATTCTATTGTGTTTCCATTTGACGACTTTTGTTGCAGTTGAAAGTTGGCGAGACATCAGATGAAGGGAAGTGCACGGAACATGGCTTGAAAAAGTGAAAACTGGGCAAACGTTGGGCTTCTCAATAAATTATTTTGTTGCGTGACTTGTTTCATGTGTTATTAACAGGTTTTTCTCTACCGGCAGCCGCCGGGACTTCCATTTCTCTGCGTATTTCTCGTCACTCGCTTTGCTCATTCTCAGTTGTGAGGTCAGCACCTCGCAGAGTGGATGTGTATGCATCCCCAAGATGTGTTATAGTGAGTCATACACGTCATGACGGTTTACGGACAACTCAAGATTAACAAATAATTACCCTCAAGAATTTTTCCTCAATGGTCCTGCCGCGATGGCTAGAGCACAGACGATTAGAGAATGCCCTAGGACTAAGCCTTGGAGAGGAGAGGGACCCGCTAGAGAGCGCAGAGGCGGTAAAGGGCTGAGTTCAAGTAGTCCGTCAACCCATCATGACCACTCTAGGCATGAGAAATCATAGACCAATTTAGGATGAGAAATTAACGCTGTCCCGGACTCGAAGTTTGGTACGCAGTTGATTTAATTACCCTCAAGATAAATGACACTATCATTCGGAGCAGCCATGGTGATGAGTTGTGCCATTAATATTCGAAAGAAGAGGTGTCAAAGGGTGTGTCTGCGCGAAAAAACAAACAACCGAAACGGCCATGTCCCTGAAGAAACGGGGTCATATGCTGTCTTGAAAGGGTTGAGTGCCGGGATGAAATGAGGAAAGATCTGTTCAAGTATGATGTATTGTGTGCTAGGTGAGACGACACTGAAGAAAAAACCAGGAACAACCGTGTCAAAAGCTCAAGAGGGAACCTTCTCCTTCGGGCCGGAAGGATGGTAGGTCGAAGCAGCCCATTGGACCGATTTCACAAATTCATACCGTCACAGTGGACCGATTTCACAAATTTTACGGCCCCTCCACCCTTCAGAAGTGTGGAGATCACTCCCCTCTTCTCTTGGAGAGTCTCAAGACGACTCACTCCAGGGTTAACCCTACGTTGTAACGAGCAACAACGGGGGGTCGTACTCAGTCGAGCTTGGAAGGGAGCTCGGAAGAGGGGTCGTACCCTCCCGGTGGCCGGCACTGGGATTCTTGGTGATATCCTACTGATCGTGGATAGTGGTACGAAGGGAAAGAGCAACCGCAGCACAGACAAGTGTTACATTATGTAGTGTATATTATGCCAAATTAATGCCAAGATGACTGATACTAGAGCATCTATAAAAACGCTTCCTTCTAAATGAGCTTTCAAATGAAGTCAGCGAATTAGAGCGGGCGCCCGAGGCGTGGCGCGCACCAAGGCAAGGGATGTAGTGCAAGCGCATGCTCGAAGCTTTCTAGCACATCCTAATTAAACATGAAATTGGTCTTCCAAGAAGTTACGGGCAGTGAAACCTAAGAAAACCCGAGTTTTATTGAACTCCGTAATTCATGGCTAACGCCAAGTCTCATTCAACAGCATCTGCAATTCAATTGCCTAACTGAGCAGGTCGACGTCCGAACTGCCTCTGCCACAATACTACTTTGACCCAGGAATTACTGCGCATGCAACGGCTACACGGCTTGGAATTCTTATAGTCGATATCTTCATCCTTCAACAGTGGTTAACTTCAGGGAAGTTTGAGGTGTTTTCGTTTGGATTTCTTCAGAGCTACGTTGGGTTTTTGATTTCGATTTGTTTCTTCCTGAGTTACCGCATGTAGTGATCAAAATGGCCCGCACTGCTACACAAAAAAGATTGCGTGGTCAACAGGACATTACTTCTAAGGGAATACAAAGTACTGCAACTTCGGACAGCTCTCCGCCTGATTTGGATGTTGCAGGTCTATCTTTGAATGATCTTGTGTCTGCCATGATCGAAAGGAATGAGCAAATCAAAGACCCGATTATGGGCAAGTACCTCAACGCTCTCGTTACAAAACTACCTCAAGCAGTCACAGATGCCGTGGAAGGAGAGAAGCGGGGGCGGAGCCTGGTCATATCAGGTATTCCTGAGTCGGCTGCTGAGCTGCCACCTTCCATCAAGCAGAAAGAGGTTGAGTCAAAGGTTACGGAAGTTCTAGACCTCCTGGGTGTGGAGTGTAAGCCTGTTGGAGGTCTACCGCATGGGTCGACCCGGAGGTTTGCATCCTCGTCTAGTGAAGGTGGTGCTTCCCGTCCAAAGGCCATTGGATCACAGCTTTATCCAACAGTTACCGCTTGCGTGGATCAAGCTTGTCCAATGTATTTGTGCGCAGAAGTTTGACCCCTGAAGAGCGCAATCGTGAGATCCAGCTTCGGCAAGAGTGTAAGGGCGCGCAATGACCAACTTCAACAGCCGTGTTTGGGTAGTATATCGTGGTGAGTTGAGGCGCGCCGACGAGCTACCCAAACCGCAGGGGTCGGGAAACGCATAATGCGGCACGGAACACCGACCGGACTGAGATGTTTCCTCTTCAACTCACGAAGTCTGGGCAACAAACTCCACCATCTCCACTTTTTCCTCGATATGTATAATCCCGATCTCGTTCTTTATCACTGAGACATGGCTGTCTTCCAAAATTTCTGACGCTGAAATCCTTTCTGGCCGACCCTACAATATTTTCCGTCTTGACCGTAAAAATCGTAAAGGAGGTGGTGTTTGTTGCTTAGCTAAGAATATTATTCACCTATCAGCCGTTGCGACGCCTTCTTGCCAAAGCTCGGAGATACTTAGCCTCGAGGGGTACGACATGTCGTCTTCCCTAAGCTTTAGAGTTATTTTGATATATCGGCCACCAAATTCAGATTCGAATGATGATGAGAGTCTCATTGAATCGTTGTTGGAGCTCTGTGTTTCGATTAAAAACTTGATTGTTTTGGGTGATTTCAACCTGGAGATAGACTGGCCATCTAGAAAAGCTAAAAGTCCGGCATCCTCTAAATTCCTTAAACTCTTTGAATCTTTCGATTTAACTCAACATGTGGCGCATCCAACACGAGGTAATTCAATCCTAGACTTGGTGCTAAGTAACAACCCAATTGTCGAGAATTTGTGTGTGTGTCCACCTTTTGCTGCGTCCGACCACAACGTTGTTTCTTTTGAGATCTCTATTTCGTTGAATGAGCCCAAACTGCTCCCCCTCCCCAATTTTGCGAAAGCCGACTACCCTGCCCTTTCACAGTACTTATCTTCCATTGACTGGTGGAGTGCTTTCGAAGGATATCATTCTGTGGATGATCTGTATAAGAAGATTTTGCCGCATTTGTACACTGGCTTTGCTAAATATGTACCTTTTGAGTCCAG